CATCTAAAGATTCTCTAAAAAAACACATACATAATTTCAAGATCTCCACAAGCCGGGTAAAAACTTGTCGTGGTCTGAATGATGTTTCTCTCTGGCTACTTGTTTAGGGTAGCTTTCTGTCTTGTTATGTTTTTTCTTCTTAATTTTTCCCAGTGTAATATCGTGTTGAACACCCCTTATACCTTTTAATTCACACTAGTAGAAAAAATGCTTGTTAAGTCAGTTGAAAATGACTTTTTAAGTCGGGTCCGAAACTGATATTTTGTATCACTAAAATTTAATAGCGCTTTTAAAAAAAGTGCTATTAAAAAGGAAACAAACACATCTATAATAGCACTTTATGGTCGGGCGCTATTATAGAGTGTAGACAATGTGATTTTGATAGAACTTTATTAAAAAGCGCTATTATTATAAAGGAAACAAACATATCTATAATAGCACTTTTAAAAAAAAGTACTATTAAAAAAGAAACAAACATATTTATAATAACACTTTATGGTCGGACGCTATTATAAAGTGTTGACAATGTGATTTTGATAGCACTTTATTAAAAAGCGTTATTATTATAAAGAAACAAACATATCTATAATAACACTTTTAAAAAAAGTGCTATTAAAAAAGAAACAAACATATGTATAATAGCACTTTATGGTCAGGCGCTATTATAAAGTGTTGACAATATGATTTTGATAGCACTTTATTAAAAAACGCTATTATAAAGTGTTGACAATATGATTTTGATAGCACTATTAAAAAATGCTATTAATATTCTTTATTAAGATCTCTTATTATAATATATTACTAGAAATAAAAATAGAAAAAGATTAATTAAATAAAAAAAAGAGAAAAAAACAGAAAGGAAAGGGAAGAGGGGAAAGGGGATCCCCTTCGCTCCCAGATCCGCCGCCAACATCTCCTTTCCTTTCCTTCACTCGCAATCGGAACCCTCTTCTTCACAAAATAGAGAAGGCCCTTCACCCTTGGCCATCACCATCTTCTTCATCCATTTTTGTTGCTGACCCTTTCCTCTCATTTTTTTGCCGTCAAACTATCCCCCACCGTTGTCATCTTCAAGCTTCTCCTTCATCATTCTTTTCACCATCACCAACCCATATCTCTGAACCAGAAAACCCTTCAACCACACTCCTTCAGCTCGCCATTGATACCCTCATTTTCCTGATCTGAAACGGATGTGTCATCGCTCTCGAGTCTACTTCTAACATCAAGTACCGGTTTCAACGACAGAGAGACTTTGGAACCACTTTCCTGATCTGAAACGGCTGCAGAATGTTAACAACAGAGAGACTTTGGAGTCACATTCGAGACCTGGCACCTAATGAAATAGTTTTTAACAATGCTTATTTTGATTTGTATTTAGGCCAAGTTTTGGAATCAGTATGTGGAGGCACAGATGGGTGTAAATAATGATGACGCTACCAAGCAGACTTTTAGTCGCTGTTTGTTGAATTGTCTTCAAGTTCCTCTCTGGTATGTTGTTTTCTTATTCTGATTATGACAATGGTTGATATATTAGTTTCCTTTTGGATATGTTGTTTGAAAGGTTTCGATTATATGTGAGAATTCAGTGTTGTTTATCCTTGTTTAAAGGCGGTATTACATTCGTTTCATTAGAAAGGTCAATGACAAGAAGGGCACAGAGGGTCAAGAAGAGACCATAAAAGCCTTTGAGTTTATGCTCAAATGTATCGGTAACTTGTTTCTCATTGTCCTATTACTTTTGTATTTCAGTTTTCCTTTGATAGCATTTATATATGTATGTATATTGACACATCTTTCTAATGATGTGCTAACAGGAGCAGACATAGCATCTGGCCCTTTGTGGATGGAGTACATATCCTTTCTAAAGTCATTGCCGGTGAGTTAATATTATGTATTTCGACTGTTTGATCTTTAGGAAAGACCTCACCTAATAGAATAATGCTTTGGTTCTTATTTTATTTTATACCTGACAAAAATCAGCAAATACTGGACTATATTCAGCATGGCAACACTCAATGAGTGTCAGTTATGGTTCATTGAATCTTAATCATGATGTAACTGCCAATGCTGGCCTTACATTCAAGTTACAAGACCTACATTTTCCCCTGTAAACTAGAACCTAATCAAGATTTAGATCATTTGAATTAGAAAATAAGAGTTATTAGACCTATCCTTGATTGATGAGATTGAGGAAAGGAAGCCTTCAAATAAATGTAGTGGCTGCTGATTATATTTCATAATTAATTTTCTACATGTTATGTTTATATGACTGTTGAATAATTTTCAATGACATTGGGTGATATTTTTCTGTAACTAAGAACATTTTTTCCTGTTTTGTTGTTTTAGGTGCTAAGAAAGATGGGAGTAGTGTTCACTTCTTTCACAGAACAATGAATGAATATAGTACTGATCAACGTAAGCGTCGAAAGATTCAACATCATGGTTCAACCGAAGATCATGTACGCTGGCACAAGATTGGTAAGACCAAAGCTGTAATAGAAGATGGAGTACATACGGGTTATAAGAAGATCATGGTTCTGTATATAAGATCTGAGAAAATGTCAAAATCCTACAAATCTGGTTGGAAAATGCATCAGTACCATCTAGGGAATGATAAAGATGAGAAGAATGGAGAATATGTGGTTTCAAAAATATTTTATAAACATAATGAAAATTAGGAGAAACCAATGGCTGAAGAATCTGACAATATAACATTACGAACAAGTCCAAAGACTCCAAAACCAAATCCTCCAAACCCACTGCGCGCAGGAAAATGTGTTGGGAATGATGATAACATCGACGAAACTGCACTGATGTCATCTGCAGAGGTGCACAACAATATAGTATGATGCATATGGTTGAAAATATAAGTCAAATCTAAAGATTTCTAAAAACATAACTTTCATTTTCAATTACAAAAATAACTCTATTTTTTCTTTCTTTACTGTTTATTAAGATCTACTGGAAACGGAGAAAATAAACGTTGAATACACATAAAAGTGAAAAGGTGATGATGCTTTTGTGATAAAAATAGGAAACTATAGATAGAAATGGAAACAGAGCATGCTATATTATTCTCCCTTATAGAAGTTAATAGTAGTTTTGCTCGTCATGATTTTCACTGAAATTTGTTCAAGTTCAAATGAGTAGTGAGTATAGAATAACGTAACAGTTTTACTCTAGTAGTAGTTATTATTATTATTATCATTATTTGACCATGTCCACTACATTCTATTGTTCATCTCTAAAATTTTAATTTTATGAACTAGGATGCCAAGTTTGTCCCTGTGGAATCACATGCCCCACAATCTGAAACTCATGATCAGCAGGACAATGCAGACAACTCTGCATGGTTGGTTGATGAATTACAGACCATGGAAAATTGCGAATAAGACGGCTTGGACGACATATTATTGTGCAAGGAGATTTTAGATTCATCAGCTCTATTTGATGATTTTGTATTGAACTCAATCACTCCCAATGACCTTGCTTACTACGAAAACAAAATGACAGGCAATTGTAATGTAGCCAGTGAAACTTCAACTTCTGTTCTAGATACACTGGAATTGGATACTGCTCCAGATTATGATCTTTCGGTAAGCATCTCATTATGGTTATTGGTTACTCTTACTCACTTCACTTTTTAGAGTTTTACAAGTTAAATCCTTTCTAAACCCTCTCGCCTGTCTTAATAGTTATTTTTTTAGCCTTTCTTAATCTTTGGTAGATACTTTATATCAGTTAAGGCTTCATTGTTTTCCTTTGGTAAAAGTATGGTGTAGCTCTTAATTATAGTTTCATGTGTCTTACTTGACCTTACATTTTTAACTCTCATTTCCTTGTGTTGTCTTTCATTTGTGAACAGATTCAGAAATGCTACGATATGCCTATGCAGAGCTAGAGGAATCCCGTGGAGCAATCCATGTATTTTTTAGGCTTGATCATACTGTAGATCTAGTAAAGGCCTCCGAATGGGTCATTTGATATCTTATTCATTGTTTTTTCAACTTGTTTCGATTGGTTATATTAATCCGTAAGGATTTTTATTTCGTTTTATTTCATGCCGCAAAGAAAGTACATGAAAACGTAAATTGGAGTTCGGGTGAGGATTAGTATTAACTCTTTTGCTATGTTTTTTGTTTTAGTTATCCATTGCTAACCCAAGGTGGCAAGTGATTCACAAACTAAGATTGGCTTTATGTATATTATATTACTAGTTTTCATTAAGAACCGGGTGCTATACTGCCATAGTCATAAATTTAATATATTTTATTCATTTAAATATTAGTAGAATATTATATAACTAGGTGTGTGGCAGGTAGAGTTATAGTCACAACTGTCATCACCAACTGGTTCTATTGTACTGTATACACTCTTTACACGTTCTACATATACATACATATCAGTATGAAATGGTCTTGGTCCTTGTTTTCAATATATATCCAGTTCATCATTATATGTCTTTTTCTCAACTAACTACATTAAAAACTTATCTTTATCCAAGTATTACTATACTATCAGATTCCAAGTATAAAATTGCACAATTGGCCAACATGTTAAGAGTTGACTGTCTTAATCTAATACAGAAGCACATTTTCTTTATTAACCAAAGTTCTTGACAACTTGATAATATTATTCTACAAAGCTGACCTCTATTCGGATTTGAAGTTTCTCTTCATTTCTCATTACCAAAACAAGTTGTTTACAGTTTCACTCTTTTCATATTCTTATATGAATATCTATCTACATGATATATCTCTAACTATTGCTTTCTGCTACTGAATTTGAAGCTTTGTATTTTGTCATCATATCAACAAGCATGAACAAAAGTTTCCATACTTTTTTCTTTCTTTTGCTCTTCACAATTCTTTTTGCTCTTTTGTTCTTCTTTTCTCAGGTTTTCGAAATTTGGTGGACCTGTTCCTCAGCGACCGATTGAGGACCTAGCGTTTGCAGTTGCTCGATTCTTATAATAGGGTGGTTAATTTTTTAATTATTACATGGTAAGCTACCTGATTTCTTTTTCTTGTTAAACAAAACACATGCTTTGTTAATTTACTAAATACGAGTATTAATGGTGATTAATGATAACGATAGTATCACGGAGGAACTAATTTCGGACGATCAGCTAGAGGACCATTCATTACTATGAGATATGACTATGATGCTCCAATTGACGAATACAGTTAGATAATTAATTACACTTTCAAAACAACTTAAATATTCTCATTAGCAAATTGTAATCAGTGCTTAAAACTGATTTCAGGTTTGTTAAGGGAACCTAAATATTTTCATTTGAAGGATCTTCATCAAGCTATCAAGCAATGTGAACATGCTTTTGTTTCTTCGAATCCTACTGTTACATTGTTAGGAACATACGAACAGTCACATGTATTCTCTTAATATTTGTTTTTTAGCCTTTCTTAATCTTTGGTAGATACTTTATATCAGTTAAGGCTTCATTGTTTTCCTTTGGTAAAGTATGGTGTAGCTCTTAATTATAGTTTCATGTGTCTTACTTGACCTTACATTTTTTAACTCTCATTTCCTTGTGCTGTCTTTCATTTGTGAACAGATTCAGAAATGCTACGATATGCCTATGATAGATCTTTCATTTATGAATTCTAATGTCGTAAAATGTAAATGCCATATTTATATATATATATATATATATATATATATATATATATATATATATATATATATATATATATATATATATATATATTATATATATATATATATATATATATATATATATATATATATATATATATATATATATATATATATATATAATATATATATATATATATATATATATATATATATATATATATATATATATATATATATATATATATATACCAAAAGAATGATTTTGTGTAAAAAAAAAGTGTACTACAATAACGTTTTGAGGAAAGAGTGCTATTAATGATACGTACTATAATAGCACTTTTATGGAAAAGTGTTATCTAATATGTGTCTTATAATAGCGCTTTGTTTGAAAGTGATATCTAATATGTGTCTTATAATAGCGTTTTTGGAAAAATGCTATTAAATACCGGTAGTATAATAGCGCTTTTCGAAAAACGCTATTAATTACCAGTATTATAATAGCGCTTTTAAAGCGCTATCAAAAATTTTGTTTTACAATAGCAGCTTGGTTAACAGCGCTTTTAAGCGCTATCAAAAAGCAAAAAAAACGCTATTAAATAGCTTTTTTTTTGTAGTAGTGTCATTTACTTGTTGTTTTCTACGTTACTTAGTTTTCATTGATGCTTGGATATGTAACACCGGGTTGGGACATTTTCATTATTGTTATGATGTTGTTTTGGATTATTCATTTAGAGTATTCTATATTCTACTTACGTACACCATTGAATAAGCTTAAATTACTCATTTTATCTCTCATCTAAATGTCCTTATGTGTATGACCCTATAAATTCTTGTCACATTCAAATTATACTAAAACACATATATAATATAAAAAATAGTGAGAGGTACATATCTATATATCACTACTACACATATAAGGAAATTATCATGTGATCTGATGAAACATGTCAATGATAATTCTTATGTGTATAATTATCCCTTTTCCTCAGGTCTATATTGAAAACAAGACATAGACCATGTCACCCACCCTTGTCGCGGTTTAATATCGGTCCCTTGGACATTTATATTGTTACACAAGATGGAAAAATTCCATATACGTTACTCATGTAACTCGACATAATTTGTGGAATACCTATCAGTCGTCTTTATAATTATCCTGCTACAGACAATGTTTGAACAAAATTAAAGTACTAGACTCCGCATCAAAGCTCCATAGTGGTTTCAGGTGGAATGGTGGTATACACCATTATCACCTTGAGAATAACTCATGGCACTTGCATAACTTTCCATGTAATATTCTCATAATGGATTAATATAGTACAATTATTACTCTTAATACCTTATATATATATATATATATATATATATATATATATATATATATATATATATATATATATATATATATATATATATATATATATATATATATATATATATAATATATATATATGTGTGTGTGTGTGTGTGTGTGTGTGTGTGTGTGTGTGTGTTGTGTGTGTGTGTGTGTGTGTGTGCGCGTGCGCGCGCGCGGGTGTGTATTTGAACCATTAGATTTTTATGTGAGAGTATGAGAATGTATTTTAACCATTAGATTTTTATGTGAGAATATGAGAATGTATTTGAACCATTGGATTTTCATGTGAGAATATGAGAATGTATTTGAACCATTAGATTTTAAAATAAATGGTGGAGATTGTGTGTCAAATTTTTTTCTCACTTCTTCATCATTTATTCTAATAATAGAGGAGAGAGAAAAACAAAAACCTCACATAATCTCTACCATTTATTTTAAAATCTAATGGTTCATATTCATTCTCATGTTGTCACATAAAAATGACACTTTCATAGGATATGTCTTCTCTCTCTCTCTCACTCACACACTCACTCACTCTCTCTCTCTCTCTCTCTCTCTCTCTCTCTCTCTCTCTCTCTCTCTCTCTCTCTCTCTTTATATATATATATATATATATATATATATATATATATATATATATATATATATATATATATATATATATATATATATATATATATATATATATATGACAACGGCTAGTTATAGGAACTATGATCATACATTGCACACTTTCAGGTTTTCTACAGTGGTCATAAGAACGTTATTATAAGTAGCGCATATATAACCACGACATACGTAATAATGGTAGGTCACGCGTGATGCTATTCCTTTTACAATCATTATTGTATATGTTTTTCATAGTAGTGATAAGAGGTGATTATCAGTCTACCAGCATAATATGTCTCAGTGTATTAATTATATCCTACTTCATAATAAATATTGACTATACATACTTTAAGAATAATTTACTTATGTTTAATGGAGTCTCACGAGTAAGTCACTCTTAATACTTCATCAACCGAAATAGTTATTTTAATGAATTTCACAACAATTAGGAAGAGAAAATGAGTGAAGGGGTCACTTTACTCCAGCCCTTTACATATTAATCTCTATTAGGAGAATTTTTTCAACTAGGGAGCATTGAACATTGTGGGACTTTTTTTTTCTGAAGCAACACACCTTTATGAGAGACACACCACATATTCACTCAAAAACTTAAGGTGATAGGTAAATGGGTTATTCTACTTATAAATGCTCAAGTCATCACTGTCATACCCTAAATTTGTCACACCAATTCTTTTTTTCTTGTATACCAAGTTTTGTGGCCTATGGCCTTGATTCGTTAAGATTTAATCATAAGATTTTACATGGATTAAGACATCCTCATCCTCTTGGTCAAAGCACAGTCAATTACGTCATAGGCCAAGTTTTTACGATAAAATCCATTATAAAGAAAGTCATGACTCCAAATGGTTTCAGAATTGTTCATGTTACTCCCGGGGTTTTCTTTTAATTAACTCAAGACTGAAAAATGCTTTAGGAACGGCTGCAAACGTTGAGATAGGCATGGCAAGGGGATAAATGCTATTGTTTTGAAAAGGTTATTTCAAGTTTTATCTCAAGTCTTATTCCAATTTAAATTCTAACCGGTTTTAGAATCGGGTTTACGTGAACTTTGTTTTATATTATTTGTAAGAGTTAAAGGGGTGTGATGGGAGACACTTTTGTCAAAACATAGCCAAACTTCTAGCTGTGAATAAGCTTGTTTAAGCATGGATTATGATCAAATTTGAGCAAAGTTTTTTACACCGAAGGAAAAGGTAATAATGTGGGGAGAGCACCAAGTTACAAGCAAGCCACCATAGGCTATGAGTAGCATGGATGTTTGTTTCACCAAAATATGATAATGTTACCATTATGTATCTCAATTTCTCAACATTAACTAATGGAATTTTTTGAAAGGGTGTTACAAAATGAAGAATTGTGCTGCTACTGAAAAGTTGAAAATGGTGGTTATATTACAATTACATAACCCACCCCCACTTCTACATTAAATAAGAAAACTAAAAAGGGAGCAGAACATCTTGGAACATCCCACTTTCATACTAGTTATGGCAGGCCACGTCCTGGTTGATACTTCCGCAAATGCTTCACGTTGGCCCCGTACCAAATCCTCACAGTCCCCCACCTGCACCATACAAGACAACTTTTGCAATGAATAAATCAAAGGGAAATTGCAGAACAGAAAAGGACAATACAATAACAATGTTTTCAAATAATAACACTATGTAATGGCTCATTGTAATACCCTGCTACTTTTTCTACAAAGCAAAATAACTTTCACACCAGTTGAAAAGTTTTCTCACAGAAACCAATTCAAAAACTTGGCCCACAGCAGTTGCACGAATCCCACACTTCAACGTTTCTCACCAGTACTATCTCCACACACCCACTTGCAAAAAAGTGAAAGAAAAAAAAAACAAAAGCTTTCGACATCAGACAAAAGGACAGCAGGTCCTTATTTCATTTCATGGCCACGCCTTGAACAAGTAATACTAACCTGCAAACGACAGTACAGAAAAGCAAACCATTTCCTCCAACCTACTTCATAACCGGCTGTACCTACACAGAAAATGAGGAAAATTACCACAAAGCACCCACCAACCTATGTCTGCAGCAGGCATCACCATCACTTTTGTAATAGTCCAAAACTCTGCAATAAAGACAGCCCATAAGCGTGTTGTAGCGACATCCATAAAACTCCCAACAAATCTGATGCACCACAGAGTGGTCCCAAGCATTCTTTACGGCCATACATCTACCTGCATAAAAAAAGGAAGAAGAAAACCATAGTGAGAATTACATACAACCAACACAAAATTGTGGTTTGTATCACTACAAAACAAACTGCCAAAGCTCTAGACATGAGTCACACACAATCGGTAGACACAGCCAAGGCAGAAAATAATTTATACGCACCATTTCATTATTCTGGTACAACAATAACAAAGAGCCACTACAAAGGACTACTTCATGACCCTGCATTTGGTACCAACATTTTCCTCTAAAAATACCAAAGTGAAGTCACTCCTGATTTTGGCTCCTCCATTTCTAAACCAAGAGTAAACACCAGAACTTGACTTTTCTTCCCTTCTTCAAACGTCTCCAACGACAAAATCCCATCCTTTTCTTTCAATCATCTGAAACTGAAATCCATAAACCCCATCTTCCATCTCCGTTTCTCGAACCAACACAACTCCGAAACTCACCTTCCCTTAAAACCTCCAAGTCCCTAAACCACAAAAAAATCTCTCTACAAAAATTCACAAGAAAACATCACCTGCAAACAAAGAACAGAGGAACATAGCAACATAAACTTCATATTCTCAAACCCCCAACCCTCTTCAACCAATGACGAAAACAC